TTCTTTGGCGATTGTCTTCAGTATCCGCGTAAAACTGAAGTCGACGATTCTTCTCGTACATCATGAGCCAGGCGATAGGTTCACTCAGATCACCATTTGCAAAGTGGTTAAATCGGGATACCCTGTTCATCCTTCGATCAGTCGATCCATGCAATGCTGGGGTAAGATGAAGCAACTTTGTTGCTCGGACAAGTTGGAGTTGTCTTTCAACACGTGCTACTTCATATCTTTCCGCTGCAAGAGGAGACAGATCTGAGGTATCTGACTTCTGCTGATCTATGTGTACAGCTCCAAATGCTTGCACGAAGAGGATGACGACATGTTGGAAGTGTTTGCAAAATACTTTCGCCAGTTGCGGATCGACGTGTTTGACTGTCGAAAAAATTGACGTTTCAAGAGTATCTTGTCGAACCTGATCCAGGGCACTGCTGACGTCGTTGAGGTCCCACGGTAATAGTAGTTGCCGCCTATCGTCATCATCCTCTTGCGANACCTTTTTGCTGACGTTTTTGGTGTGTAGCCAGATTCCTCGCCGTCAGGTTCGTTGATCCTTCGCTGATGCAGAGGGGACATGAATACCGTACTTCCGTTGGGCATCGTGGTGCAGGTCCAGGTACGGGTGATGGTGGTGCCAAATCTTGGTTCATGACACCGCTCGTTGCCGATGCGACTGGAGGCTCCAGTGCAAAGCGATTCCACGTCAGTCCATCAGTCTACTACTGCTGCTGCTGGCTTCCACCACGCACGCTCGTGTGTGGTGGAAGTGGTGTGTGCGTGTGTCCCTCCCGATCCAACGACATGAGTAGCCACGTAGCCACCGATCGTTGATGTCTCCGGGTGTTTGTGTGTGTGTGCACCTTTGAATTTAATATCTGCCGTAGCTGGTCACCCCCCTTGACCTCCACCTACGCGATTTGGCTCCCTCTCTCGCGGGTGTAATTAGGTACCACACCGCAAGGCACGAAGACGATGAAGGCCTTCGCGGAGGCAGGGCAGAAGGTGGTTGAGTCGATGCGGTCCAACTCGCGAGAGAACACCACCGTGGTCACCACCATCAGCGCCAATGGTGCCACGTGGGCGCCAACCATTATCTTCAAAGGACAGCGACTCCAGCCTGACTGGTTCGCCGAGAGGAACGGCCCGAAGGATGCGAGGTACACGTGCACGGACTCTTCGTTCATGCAGGGCGACGTGTTCATCAAGTACCTCGGGGACTTCCACAAGCAGCTTGACGACCAAGGCGTGCTCGACGGAAAGCCGCACACACATCCTCGTGCTTGATGGGCATGCCTCACACATGAGCTACGAGGTCATCAAATTGGCCATGTAACTCAACACCATCCTCTTCCAGCTGCCCTCCCACACGTCGCACATCACCCAGCCGTTGGACGTCGTCGCTTTCGGAACCTTCAAGAAGGAGGTGACTAAAGTGCTGCAAGACTTCTACCACGCAAACGATGGGTTGTTACCGCTGAAGCGTGACGTGCCCGGCGTGATCGCAGCGGCTTGGCAAAAGAGTTTTACACCGGAGCGGAACAAAGCATCCTTCGGCGGGGCGGGGCTGTGGCCTGTGGACATGGATCGAGCGCTGACCCGGCTTCAGGGCACGGCGAAGAGGAAAGAGAGGCCGACCGGGCGCCCACCCCTAGAGGATGTCCCCATCGCCATGACCCACGAGCAGCTGGAAGAGGCCATCGGAGAGAGGTGCCTGAGGCAGTTGAAGGCGGGAGGACATACTATTACCGGACTCAAGGTAGGCACGGTGATGCTCGGCGGTCTCCTGACTCAGAGGAAGCGCGCCAAGAAACTGGCAACCTCGCGGGGCTCTTTGGGCCTTCCCCACGGAGGCAACATCAACTCGGAAGAATTCCTGGCAAAGGTTGATTGACGCAAAGGAACGCGCAGGCAAGGCAGAGGCCGAGGCGAAAGCGGAGAGGGGCAGGGAGCGCGAAAGGAAGAAGGAAGAGGCGGCCGCGGCGGCGGCGGCGCGGGCATGGCAG